GCTGTTTATATATGGCCAAATTACAACACAAAAACATATTCCTGCTCAGGGGAGATTTATGTTCATAGACTGAACCTAGAGGAAGAAGACTGGAAAGTTGCTTAATCCTATGCAAGATTTAATCCCATTATCATTTCACTGTGAACTTGGTGTCGGACACGTCAATTCACCTATCTCAGATAACCAAACTAAAAAAAAAAAAAAAAAAGGAAAATAGAATGAACAAGCAAAAACCTTGTAGTACAAGACCAAATAGGTAAGAACTAATACAACTTATCCTAGAAGTAAAAGGTTGGTCTGACATCTGAAAACCAATTATTGTAATACATTTTATTAAGTAGAAAAAAAAAAGACAAAAAACACACAATAATCCTAGTAGATGCAGAAAAACATTTCACAAAATTAAATACTTTTCCAGGATAAAAACACTCAACAAACTAGTAACAAAAGGTAACTTCCTCAAACTAATAAAGGGAATTCAGGGACCCTTTATTAAAAGCTTTTATTAAAACTCACAGCAGGGGGCGCCTGGGTGGCGCAGTCGGTTAAGCGTCCGACTTCAGCCAGGTCACGATCTCGCGGTCCGTGGGTTCGAGCCCCGCATCAGGCTCTGGGCTGATGGCTCAGAGCCTGGAGCCTGTTTCCGATTCTGTGTCTCCCTCTCTCTCTGCCCCTCCCCCGTTCATGCTCTGTCTCTCTCTGTCCCAAAAATGAATAAACATTGAAAAAAAAAAAATTTTAAAAAAAACTCACAGCAAACATCACACATAATGATGAAAGACCAAATGTTTTCCCCCTAAGATTAGAAACAAGACAAGGATGTCCACTCATCATTCCTATTCAACATGGTACTGGATGTTCTACCCAGGGCAATTAGGCAAGAAAAAGAAATAAAAGGCATCCAGATCAGAGAGGAAAAAAGCAAAACTATCTCTGTGTGCAAATGAGAAGATCTTATATATTAAAAAATCCCAAGAAACCCCCCCAAAACTACTAAAAGTAAAAAAGAGTTCAGGAAGGTTGCAGAACACAAGAATAATATACAAAAAATCAATTACATTACTATACACTTGCAATGAACAATCTGCAAATAAAATTAAGAAAATAATTCTATTGAAAATAGCATCAAAAAGAATAAGATACTTTGGAATAAATTTAACAAAGTAAGTACAAATTTTATGCCCTAAAAACTACAGAACATTGTTGAAAGAAGTTAAAAAAGACTTAAATGAATGTAAAGATATCTTGTGTTCATGAATCACAAGGTAATTGCTCCAAAAGTGACCTATAGATTCAATGCAATCCCTATTAAAAAAAATCTCAGCTAGCTTTTTTTGCAGGAGGTAATCTTAAAATTCATATGAAAAATGCAAGCGACTCAGAATAGCAAACCAATCTTGAAAAAGAAGAACAAAGTTGGAAGACTTCCACTTCCCAACTTCACAACATACTAGAAAGCTACATTAATCAAGACAGATTGTACTGATATAATGATAAACATATAGATTAATGGAATAGAACTCAGTTCAGAAATAAACCCCTACCTTAATGGTCCACTAATTTTTGACAAGAATGTCATATCAATTCAACAGCACAAATGATAATTTTTTTGAACAAATGGAGCTAGGACAACTGGATATCCTCGTTCAAAAAAGTGAAGTTGGACCCAGGTCTAACACCTACACAAAAATTAACTCAAAATAGATCACAGACTGGGGCGCCTAGGTGGCTCAGTTGGTTGAACATCTAACCCTTGGTTTCAGCTCAAGTCACGATCTCACGGTTTCTGAGTCCAAGCCCTGCCATCGGGCTCCATGCTGACAGTGTGGAGGCTGCTTGAAATTCTCTCTCGCCCTCTCTCTCTGCCTCTCCCCCGCTCACTCCCTCTATCAAAATAAAGAAACTTATAAAAAGAAAAACAATAGATCACAGACCTAAATGTAAGAACTAAAACGATAAAACTCTTATTAGAACACACAGGAATAAATCTTTGTGACCTTGGATTAGGTATCGGTTAAAGAAACCAAAGAAAAACAAGAGAAAAAGTTTAGATGAATTTGAGTTCATCAAAATTAAAAACTTCTGTGTGGCAAAGAAAATCATCAAGAAAGTGAAAAAAAATCTCCAGAATGGGAGAAAACCTTCACTAATCATATGTCTGAGAAGAGACCTATATAGAGAATATACTAACACTCATAACTCAATAATCAAAAGATAAATAACCCAAGTACAAATGGGCAAAGGATCTAAAAAGATAGTTTTCCAAAGAAGATACACAAATGGCTGATAAGCACGTGAGATGCTCAACATTATTAGCCACCAGGAAAATGCAAATTAAAACCACTGTGAGATACCACTTCACACCCAGTGGGATGGCTATAATCAGAGACAGATAATGACACATGTTGGTAAATGTGAAGAAATCTGAACCCTTATCACCATAGGTAGAAATATAAAATGGTATAGCCACTTTGGAAAACGGTTTTCAATTCCTCAAAACATTCAACATAGAGGTACCATGTGACCCAGCGTATTCATTCCTAGGTATACACCCAAGAGAAATGAAAACATATGTCCACAGAAAAATCTGTAAGCAAATGTTCATAGCAGCGTTATTCATAATAGCCAATTAGGAGAAAGAGCCCAAATGTTCATCAAGTGATGAATGCGTAAAATAAAATGTGGTATCCATAGAGTGGAATATTACTGGGCAACAAAATGCAATGAAGTATTATACTGATACATGCTAAAACATGGAAAAAATCTTAAAAACATTATACTAAACATGGGGCGCCTGGGTGGCTCGGTCTGTTGAGCGTCTGACTTTGGCTCAGGTCATGATCTCACGGTTCGTGAGTTCGAGCCCCGCGTTAAGCCCTGTGCTGACAGTGGCTCAGAGCCTGGAGCCTTCTTCAGGTTCTGTGTCTCCTTCTCTCACTCTCTGCCCCTTCCTCACTACTGCTGTCTCTCACAAATAAACGTCAAAAAAAAAAACAAAAAAAAAACAAAAAACAAACAAGAAAAAGAAAAAGAAATTATACTAAACAAAGACTCCAGTCACAAAAATTATATATTGTATGATTCCATTCTTATGAAAAGTCCGGAACACGTAAATCTATCTATAGAGACAGAAAGCAGGTTGGTGATTGCCGAGGGCTGAGGGAGGAGGGAATGGGAAGTGACTGCTAATGGGATGGAATTTTCCTTCTTAAAATGTTTAACTGTGGTAAAAAACCAAAAACAAACAGACAAAAAACTGCACATAATCTAAAGTTTACCATTGTAATTGTTTTTAAGTGTTTACACGCTGTGTTCAGTCATGTTAAGTAGATTCACACTGTTGTAAAATAGATCTCCAATACTTTTTCATATTGTAAAACCAAAACCCTACGCATTCAACAACTTTGCATTTCCTCCTCCCCCCAGACCCCAGCAATGCTATTCTAGTTTCTGTCTTTATGAATTTGACTAAGTTCCTCATATAAGTGGAATCATACTGCATTTTTCTTTTTGTGACTGGTTTACTTCACTCAGCATGTTCGTAGGGCTCATCCATATTATATCATGTGGTAGTACTTCTTTCCTTTTTAAGGCTGAATAATATTCATTGTATGTATAGACCACATTTTGCTTATCCATTCATCTGTCGACAGACACTTCTTGGGTTGCTTCCACTTCTTGGCCACTGTGAGTAATACTGCCATGAACATGGGTATGCAAATATCTGTTCGAGATCCTGCTTCCAATTATTTCAGATACATACTCAGTAGTGGGATTGTTGGATTATGGGGGCATCTCTTTAGAATGACGAAACTATTCTAAAATTTGACAGTGGTGACACTTGCACAATCCTAGAATATACTAAAAACCACTGAACTGCACATTTCAAATGAGTTAATCACATAGTATATGAATTATATCTCAATAAAACTGTTAGAAATACAACTCTTAAAGGCTGAATCATGGATACAAATACTTAAAGATTCTGACTGAACTGGATTATTAATCTGGTTAAATAACCAGTCAATCTTGTCATACAGGTAATTTTGACCCTTATTTTTGATGACCTGGCTTGATGTTTAGGAGTTTTTTGAGATGTAACCTATGTGCTTCTTCAACACTGATCATTAGAGAAAGTTGGAAAAAGAAATTCTCAGTACCTTTAATTCAATACTAAACCTTTTGATATTTTGTGTCAGGAAATCAGTGATGAAATAACAAATTCACACTAACTATAGAAATTTTTACTTCATCTGCTCTGTAGATATACCATTCTTCAGCTTTTTAGAAGATAGGGAAATAAGGCAGGACCTTTACTCACTTTGACTTCAGATTTACTTTTTGAAATGTCACTCACAATTATTTCACATAGAAGAAGCTCAAAAGACAGAGGGTTTATTTACCTTGTTTTTGCAGTACAAAATTATAAAATTATAAAGTACTATGGCCAATGGCACTGAATGGGGAAAGAGGCAATAAGTTTAAAAGCCAGGAGAGAAAAATCTCGAGGAAAACAAAATGTGCATCAAATTCAGATTCTTCTCATCTCTAATCGCTATATACAACTAGAACAGCTAACAGGAATGTAGATGGCCACTGATGCTCAGAAACCCATTTCATCATCTTTTCTGTTTTATCTAGACATTTCCAGTTTTGTCAAGACTCAAAGAAACAGTTTTAAAAAGGCAATAAATGAGACAATCTCAATGATTTCTCATGATCTCTTCTAATCAGAGCAGAGCTAAGTAAAAAAACCTTACTGGTCTAACTGATCATTTTTTAAAAACAAGAGACTCCACACAGTTCACGGCAAAAACACAAGCTTGGAAGTCAGCTTTCAATTTCAGCCCCAAGCACAGACTGAAACAATGGTAATGATCTAATTATAGAGACGGTTGTTACCTGGGACAGTCTTTCTAGATTACATATCTTATACACTTTATCAGTTTTTCCTAAATAATCTCTCAGGGTTGGTTTTAAATGAAGACTGAAATACTAACAGTTGGATTCAGATTCTCATTACACATTTTTCAAAGTCCGTCTGTGTGCAGAAACCAAATTATGCATGGCGACTCGAAGAGCTGAGCTCCCCACAGGGATATCACAGGAGTTGATGACCGAATGTAGTGCCCGGGTATATGCTGCAAATAAAGATTTGCACGGTGATGAAGTCAGTCAGATTCTCCACTACTCTCCCCACTTCCTTCCCATTAGCACTGCTTCTCTACTAAGTCTCATAGGTATTAACTTTGCCTACTCATTGAATACATATTTATCGAGTACTTAGTACATGCCAAGCACTCTGTGAGGACAGAAAAGATAATGAAGAGGATGGACACAGAGATAATTAAGTTTCAGGGTAATACTTTCAAACCAGAGGCATATACAAAATGTTGTCACATAATGAATTTCAGAATGAATGAAAACACATCCAGGAAGAGGGAAAAGATTTCCAGAAGTAGTAACATTTAAGATGGTCTAGGAGGATTAATAAGAGTAAAGGAAAGGCGGCCTTCCGGGCAGAAAAATAGATGGCACAAAAGGTATAAAAGAAAGTGATGTGTACTGGAAGTAGCAAGTCTGATAAGGCTGGAGTGTCACCTGGGGCCAGAGAGAAAATATGCTAAATATGGCATGCATTTCGTACTGTAATGGTGAACCCTAGAGGTTTTAGAAATAGAGGAATGGCATGATAAGATTTGTGTTTTTAAAATTTAACTCACAGAATTGATTAGGAACTTGTATCACACAGACAGGGCAGGGGGAATACAAATACTGGCAGTATTTTTGGTATGCACATGAAGCCTACACAATCTCTACCCTATGTAATAAATAACTATATTTAAGGACAGCCAGGAAACAGAAACATTGGTGACAATAACAAGGACTCTGTTTTTCTCTAGCTGGGATTCCTGAATATAGAGCTGATACTGGTCCTCATTTTCCTCAGTGTCACCTGGCAGAAGTGGCAGTCTAATGTGGATACAGATGGTAATAAGTCTATGTTAAATAACATTAAAGTATTTGGGTAGTAGGGAATGTAACTGGACAGAGGCCTAACTTCGATGGCCCTAAAACACAAGCTCTCATTTCTTCATTCACAGGAGGACCTGGAATCCAAGTCTCCCTACGGTGGAACGGAAATATTTCCCCAGCATAAATGGAGACAAGAAGGTAACAGATCTCAAAAAGGATTTTAACTCACTATAATTATTTTTATTGTCTCAAGAGTTGCTTTGTAAAGGAGTTATAACAGTCACTGATATCTAGTAAACAAACAATGAATGTTAAATTACTACAATCACTACATTTATCGTTTGTTTGTTTGTTTCATTGCCACCAGGCCCCAACCATTCCTTTAAGAAGCTTACCTCTAGGGTTTTTATAGAAAATACAATTGTTGGCACAGGTATCAGGATGCGCATCCCAAAAATCAGGACCACAACAGCATAGTGGAGGTAAAGTAATATTATACAGCTGCATTTTCTCCTGGATCTGGGCTCTTAGAGCTTCCGTATATCTATATAAAGATAACAGTAAGATCAGGCAAAGTGAACCACCAGGAAGAGAATGAGCATGAGTCCTTATTTCACCAGCTTTCACTAGTAAAATTATTTCACATCTCCATGCCTCAACTCTTCCTCTTGTACTGGGAAATAGCACGGGAGGAAATACAGTGCTATTCCGCTAGAGCCAGGACTTTATGCAGAACTTTTCAAAATACCTTTGGCATTCCTTCTCTCTCTGTTGTTGTTTTTCTCTGGCTCCTTTTACTTCCTCAAGCTGTAGCTGGGCTATTTTCTCACTCATCTTCTCTCCTGAACATGGCTCTTCATGGAAGTTCATTCTTAGTATCCTCTGCTCCTCAGCGTAACGTTGCTGCTCTTTCTTTTTTTTAATTCTGAGAATAAAATAACATGGTTAGGAATTTCATAAAATCATTATTTAGGACTAGCTACTAGAACCAAATAATTCAAAGAATTCCCAGAAACAAGGGAGTCAGGAAATCAGTTTAGCACCCCTAGAATAGCCTCAAAAATTCCTGCTGGCTGATTTGAGTTTATCTTATAGCTCACATAAATATGTAACCTCTCAAGTGGCAATGACCATTGGTTACAAATAAAAAAGTGTTTCTGGGGGTGCCTGGGTGGCTTAGTCGGTTAAGACACTGCTTCTTGATTTCAGCTCAGGTCATGATCTCACAGGTTTGTGAATTCAAGACCCACACTGGGCTCTGCACTGACAGTGAGAAGCCTGCTTGGGATTCTCTCTCTCTCTCCCTCCCTCTAGGCCCCTCCCTCACTCTTCTCTCTCAAAATAAATAAACTTAAAAAAAAAAGTTTTTCTGTAAGAATCCAATTACAAAAGCATTCTTTCCTTAAACAGCCAAATAAATAGATAGATAAATAAACCAAACAATCAACCAGGCAAAATCCAAAAACAATGGCTTTTATGGCTCTCAACATCAGGCACTGAGAAACAGTGATTCTTGACAAATGGCAAACAAATGAAGTGAGCCCTTTAACTGCCCAAGCCTTCAAAGTCTCCAGGCAGTGGCACAGGGGTGGGAGTGTTGAGGTAGAGCCTGGTGGACTGAGTTGGGAAGATACAGCTCACAGTCCAGGGACACAAAGGCAACTAGAGTTCGTAAGACAGAATACCAGAGAGGAGAAAACCCAGAGATCTACAGAGGTCTCCTTCTAATACACAGCAGAGTACTGTGCACATGTTGGAAGAGAGAACCTGAGGTTAGGGACAGAATCATCAGAATGACTAACAAGGGAGAGTGCCTTGTGCTCACACAGAGCTGGGAACAGTGCCTGTTCCTGCCACTCAGACATGAAAAACTCATAATGCACAGGGCACTGGGTAGAGTTTTCAGGAAGATCTTACCTCCACAGTGGGGAATAATGATTAGTCCCAAACTGAGCACTGATCCAGACACAATCTAATAAATTATAAAAGCAAAGCTCTAAAGTAATTTAACTACATCCCAGAACAAAGCTCAGAAAAATGTATATGAATACAAAGATATTCAGCAACCAACAAGGCAAAATTTACAATGTTTGACACCTAATTAAAGATTACCTGGCATGCAAAGAAGCATGTTTATGTTTTAAAAGAAGCTTATGTTTTCCTAAATATACTCATAATTAAGAGAATAACCGATTAAAACCAACTTAGCACTGAGCTATTAGAATTAGCACAGAAAAATGTTAGTTGTTATGACTATATTTTATATGTTCAAAAGTTAGGATATAAAAAGGACAAATCAAACTTCTCAAGATGAAAACTACAATTTCTGAGATGAAAAATGCACTGGAGAACAAACCTAGATCTAATGGAATCAATAATTAATAACATTTCAAAACCAAAAACACCAAGCCCACATGGGTTCACCAATCACAGAAGAAATTATACCAATTCTCTACAACCTCTTTCAGAGAACAGAAGCAGAAAAAAATATTTCTTAACTCATCCTATGATGCCAGCATTACCCTAATACCAAAACCAGACAAAGATATTACAGGAAAAGACAACTAAAGACCAATATTTTTCATGATCACAGAGACAAAAATCTTCAAAACTGTTAGCACATCAAAACTAACAATGTATAAAAAGAATTAGATGCCAAGACCAAGTGAGATTTATCCCAGGAATGCAAGGCTGGTTCAACATGAAAAAAAATCAATTAATGTCATGTATCACATCAAAAGACTAAATAAGAAAAATCACATGACCCTATAAATAAATGCAGAAAAAGCATTTGACAAAATCCAACACCATTTATGATAATACTCTTGGTAAACTAGAAATAAAAGGAACTTCCTAATCTTGATAAAGACTCTACCAAAAAAACCTACAGCTAACATCATACTCAATGGTGAGAAACTAAACACTTACCCACGAGTATCAGGAACAAGGCAAGACTGTCTCCTCTCACCACCCCTTTTCAACATGGTACTAAAAGTCTTAGCTAATGCAATAAGACAAGAAAGGGAAATAAAAGATATAGAGATTGGGAAGGAAAATAAAAGTATCTTTGTTTCCAGATGACATGACAGTCTATGTTCTTCCCAACCTGATCTATAGATTCAATGAAATCCCAATAAAAATCCCAGCAAGTTATTTTATAGATATTGACAAACTGATTCTAAACTTTATATGGAAAAGGCAAAATTCCCAGAATAGCCAACATAATATCGAAGGAGAAAAACAAAGTTGGAAGACAGACACTATTCAACTTCAAGACTTATTATAAAGGTACAGTAATCAAGACAGTGTGGTATTGACAGAAGAACAGACAATTAGAACAATCGACACAACACAGAGCCCAGAAATAGACCCATCTAAATAGAGTCACTTGATCTCTGACATAGAAGCAAAGCAATGCAATGGCACAAAGACAGTCTCTTCAACAAATGGTGTGGGAACAACTGAATATCCATATGGAAAAACTCAATCTAGACGTAGAACTTACACTCGTCACAAAATTAACTCATAGAATTAAATATAAAACACAGGACTACAAAGCTCCTAGAAGATAACTTAGGAGAAAATCTATATGATCTTGGATATGGTAATGATTTTTCAGATACAATACCAAAGACACGATCCATTAAAGAAATAACTGATAAGCTAGGCTCCATTAAAGTCAGAAACTTCTGCTCTGCAAAAGGCACTGTCAAAAGAATGAGAAGTCAAGCCACAGGTTGGGAGAAAATATTTGCAAAAGATATCTGATAAAAGACCATGAACCAAAATATACAAAGAATTCTTAAAACTCAACAGTAAGAAAACAAACCTGATTTAAAAATGTGCCAGACCTGAACAGACACAAAGAATATGCCCAGTTGGCCTTGAACAACACTAGTTTCAACTGCATGGGTCCACTTTGATATGGATTTTTTTTACAGTACAGTACTGTAAATGTATTTTTTCTTTCTTATGATTTCCTTAAGAACATTTTCTTTTCTCTACTTTAGATATATATACCATATAAAATATGTGTTAATCAACCGTTTATGTTATTGTGAAGGCTTTCAGGCAACAATAAGCTACTAGTAGTTAAGTTTTGGGAGAGTCAAAAGTTACATGTGGGTTTTTAACAGTGTAGCATGTTGCTGCCCCTAACTCCCATTTTGTTCAAAGGTCGTATGATTATGGGATCATGCCTTGGTGATGAGTGAGTGAGTAAATTATTGACTGACAACTGACTGACTGACTGACTGACTGACTGACTAAATGGTGAGGTTACCCTTCAGTGAGCATTAACATGGAAGATAAATATTTTCATATCTTTTGCCTGGAGAGAACTATACATTTACCTCTTCCCCAGATCTCCTTGTCACCAACTTTCCAATAATGTTCCTTTCAAGTCCCCTGAGACCATCCAGCCAAATAACTGAGCACAGCCCATGGATCAGCATGGATTCCTGCCTCTATAAGCATAAGAGTTTAGGTTGAGTGAACAGTAATATATCTTAGATGACCAAAACAGAGTCATAATGGCCCTTCAATCGATTCTCAGACTTGAGCCAATTTATAGACCAAGAACCTCTTGAAGTGGAGTCCAGGTTTCCTTGAGGAAGGACCCTGCTACAATGCCAGAATTTTATACTGTTAATCTTTCTCTCAGTCTTCCACAAAGGAACCATGACCTATTATCCAAATGCCATAGGTCTCTATGAGTCAGACTATTGTGATTATTGCTTTGGCTCAGTTATCCAATTACAGTAACCACATCCCTCTTTTCTTGTTGATTAAGTACCTGCCATTCCAGAGTCCCATTATCCTCATTGCATCAGGAATCCCAATTTGGTGGTTGCAGTTCCTACTGTAATGTTTGACCTACAGAGAAGGGTGACTACAGAACTCTTCAAGAATGCTGAGGCTCCCCTCACAAGTTTTTCACAGTGGTGGTGAAAGGTGTGTCCTCTTGACCCTCCCAGAGCTGGTGAACAGGTCTTACATGGTAAGTTCATTCTAATGTACCAATCTCTCTAAGCTTTCGGGTACTTTCCTCTACAATATGCCAAAGAGGTTCTGGCATTTAACTTCATTTCGTATAGGCCACCTTTGGGTCCATGGTTTAGTCAACTAACCAACATATTAAAGACTCTTCTAACCCCTCAATCTAAAAGACTGAATTTGGAGTCTCTGCTGAGTGGGCACAGACCAATAAATTCTGCCTGATCCAACTTGATATTCCATCCACTATGATCCTATCCTTTTATGACCTATTCTACATGTATTCTCTAGATTTCTATACATATAAATTCTTTTTGGAGTGTAATGTATCTCCTCATAGGTCTAACTTTGTATCTTACTTGGGGACTGCTGGGACTTGAGTCTAGTTATAGTTTGAGAAACTAAGAGTGCTGGCAGGGGTAGCAAATTAATATAGGCCCAAATCAGGGCAGAGGCTATGGGGATGGGTAGCAGGGTCTGATGGTTAATTTTATGCATCAACTTGATTTCACAGACCATGGGGTGCACACTATTCAGGGGACCTCTGTGAAGATGTTTTTGGATGAGATTAACATTTAAATCAGTAGACAACATAAAACAGACTGCCTTCTCTAATGTAGGTGGGCCTTGTCCAATCAGTTGAAGGACTAAATAGAACAAAAAAGGCTGACCCTCCCAACAGTAAGAGGGAACTCCTCCTGACCCTGGATGCTTTGAGCTAAGACATTAGTCACATCCTGCCTTTACACTAAAACTGAAATACTGGCTTTTCCTGGGTATTGAGCCTACCAGTCTTTGTGTGTGTATGTGTTTTAAGTTTATTTATTTAAAGTAATCTCTACACCCATCGTGGGGCTCGAACTCACGACCCTGAGATCAAGAGCTGCATGCTCTACCAACTGAGTCAGCCAGGCACCCCAAGCCTGCCAG